GGAATTAAAGAGAAAGGCCTTAAAGATTTTACAGCGATTTGGTCCCTACTATTCCTCAGGTATTTAGTAGTGTGATTGTGCCCCTCGCTTCCCCATGTGGTAACCCAAAACATACTAGTATTTCAGGTGTCTTCATGAGGGCGAATTTGCTCGTGAGGTCTGCTGGATATAATGGTAACAATGCCACAAAGATGGAGAATTTCGTAAGATTTTTCACCCCGTCCTACTAATATAATCGGCTATGCTGTGAGGACGTGTGTGTTGTGTGTGTGGTGTGTGTGTCTGCTCTGCTCTGCTCTGTCTGTCTGTGCTGTCATGTCTGTCGACGAAATTCATAGCAGCGTTGAAGGAGAACCTCGGAGAGGCGGATCATGGCTGGCGATGGGCCGTAGAGCATGGGGACAACACCTAAAAATAGCACCCACTGACCCATGGTAAGCCCCGCCACAGTGGGGCGTGCGCTATGCGCTTCCAAAACTTAGCGATATCCCTGGGAAAAAAGTCATAACTCGGTTCCGGAAGGCAGTCCCGAGATGAGGAACAGTGCCGTAAGGTTAAACAAAGGCCTGACTGACCAAACAGAGGAGATACACCCCGCAAATGGGCCAGGCGTTATTTGAGATGGGCGGCGCTTTCCGGTGACACTGAAAAATCACCATTACTTGCGGCTACAAGCAGTCTCGGAAACTTGAAACGGGTGGAATTAGAGCTTCAGACACCTGGGGTTCGCGCCACCCCAACATGTCAATGAGAGGTATCACCCGATACTGCGACCACGCGGTCCGCGCCGTACTTGAGATCCGGCCGGCTTTCCCACAAAGGTCGGGTATCTCGCGCTCACCGAGAATGTTTAGCGCGAGCGCAGGAAAGTTCATGACGTGATGAAGAATATCTTGCAAGAGTCCACCATAGTTTGCGGCGTGCTGAGGCCTGCCCAGTGCGGCGCGGACGTGCATGTTTGAGGCACGAGGACCGTATTAAAAAAGTTGTATTTCGGTCTGCTAAATCACTACATGCTGGCGGAAGGCCTGCTCCGAATGTGGGTGGAGCCTAATTCGCGAAAGAATCCGCAAAATGCGTTTCCCAAAGGCGCTCTAGATACCGAGCAAAAAGCCGTATCTTACAGTTGAAGCCAGCGGAGGCGTTAGGGTTATCAGCTTTGTAGAAGCGCGAGGCATACCGTTTGGCCAGCGGAGCGTGCCCCGACGGGGCGTTGGAGCCAATTTTGAAAAAAATCGCCAAGACGCGCTTGCAGAGCCACTCCAGACATGGGGGAAAAAGGTGTTTGAAGCTCAGCGAAGGGCTTACTCAGTTGAGAAGCGCGAGGCACGTACGTCGTGGGCGGTGCGCAAGACACGTCCGTCCGTGTCAAAGCGTGGTGACGCTGCGCCCCGACGCCCCTTAAAATTGCCTCAGCGGTTCCAGCAGCACTCCAGGCGCAGCCTTCCAGGAGCCTCTCTGTGATAATGGCCGGGTTTGCTCGGCTCGTGGACCTCCATCGCGGCCTCCTGCATTCGGATGATCACATGCCTCGGACTAATCCAGCGTTTTTCTCTCCATCTGTCTTACTTGGATCAAGCCTCCCACACTCCAGTATAATAGTGTTGAAACGAGCAGGCTTATTGATGCTATTGGGTCAAAGAACTGTTGGACCACCTGTTCACGGGGTTAAAAAAGCCTGATACTAGGCGGCTAATGAAGTAAGCGCGGCGGAGCTGCGCCCGCTCGACGAAGCCGTGCTATATCTCAGGAGGCGCGCCGATGTCAGCCGGCGAAGCCGGGTGGTCTTAGATATTTCTCAGATCTCCCCTTAATATTGTTCATTTCAGTGATTTTTTCGACTCGAAAGGAATTTCTAGCAAGTATGGAGAGAAGTAAAACATATTCATGGATATGTCTTTTGTTCCTGTAGGATAGTAGTAGGATATTACATTTGAAATTAAGTTGTTTCTGTCGGCTGGATGAAACTGTTAATGATCGGAAACATTAATTTGCTCATGTAGAATGAAATGTGTTGAACTACTATTTATGTCCTCAAATCAAATAAATGACTGACAAAGTTCTGGAAAGCGAGTCGTTCATGAAAATCACTCATTCACATATATCATCCTCTATCTTCAGTGTGAGCATTCTACCAAAGTAACTTTACATTGAATATTTCCCGAGCTTTATGTCGTGGATGCTCATTGCATTCAACATGCAAACGACCATTGACACGAATGAAGTAGCAGCTTTTGCATCGCAGCTTCAAACGAGACTTCACCTGCAAGTACAAGAGCATCGGTCTTTGAAAATAACTATGACACCCAAATGACGTTCATTACCTTGAAGCCTGCAGTTGATTCCAACATTCGAGGATTTCGAACTCCAAGCAACGCTCGTGTGACGGAACCGCCTCCGGCCACGAGCCGCGTCAGTATTCCTGACATTCTGAATGATGGTGAAAGTAATCGTCTCACCTGGGGAAAGATAAACATTGTGACGGTATCATGCAGTTTTCATGGGTATACGCAAAGTTAACGCAGGAGAATTCCAACCGGGATTGTAGGCATGACGATGAAGAAGGAAGCAAAAAGGTCATGGAGAACTACCTAAGGACCTCCTGGTAGCTTCTCTGGACGAGTTCTTCGGACCTGCTCGTTTCGTTCTAGCAAAGCAATATGCGTGTTGGTGGCTCACCAATGTTTCTTCGCATCATCCAATGCTAATGCTATCTAACAATAGGAAAATGAAAACACGGGGGAGAAGCTGAACTTGCAACAGAAAATGACCCTGGAGTTTGGTGGGCGGGCATTAGAGAGGCGTCAGAACCCCCTGATGAGAACCACAGCGCTTACCGTGCTCTGTCAAACGGTCGACGTAACTGCGTTATTCTGCGGCTAGTTCGAATGCAATTGCTATATACTATTGATCGACGCAAGACGCACCGTAAGGGCTAGAAGTTGCGTAAGCTGTCGATAACGACGCAAATACATTTCACCAAGTATGTTAGATACTATCGATTAGACGAAACGACGAAAGTGGCGTAAAGTTGCGTAAACCGACATTCTTCGCGAAGAGAACACGATATAGTATCACTTCGACAGAGATCGATCGAAAAGTTTCGCAGTCGGTTAGCCAGAACTTATGCCATCAGAGAATCGATAGTATTTAAACATTACAAAAAATAGTCGCAGAAAACGAGGTTACGGTCACATTTTCGTCGGCTACGTCGACGTTGACGACGACATCGCACGTTAATGAACACAGCATTACTGTGAAGACGCGAAAGTGAGCGACATATTCGAGACTGAAGACCAGACTCGAGCGCCAGGGTAGGTCTTAATAAGAGTCAAGGGACATGTAGGGACCAAGCCACGTTTGCTCATTATGCAACTACTATTGTTTACGTTGCTAGTGAGCTTCAACAGGCCAGTGTCGGTTCCCTAAGCCTAGCGTCCTTTGACACAACGCCGAATAGTGGATTCCCGGAAAGAGGGCAGGTCCGCCGGAAAAAAGTACACAGGAATCCGATTTCGTCTACTGAGTGGAGTCGAATCACAAGTTTGGTCCTTATTCGCAGACTTTCATGACTAAACCGTTAAAACCGCGGAAAGGGCCGGCTAAGAAAATCAATTTCTATTAGAGCTCTTTTCAGCGAATCCCCCATTTGCAGATTCTCCACTTCTTCAAGAGTATGGCTATAAACTGGCCTGTTACGAGGAATTGGCTAGCTCAAGTAGCTTCCGCTCGACTCGGATAATACACAAAGGTTCTAAAGATAACTATCTTGAGAAGTGCCTGAGGTAACTTGGACTCCTTTGCCGCATCCCCTTTGCACACCTGAAAGGTGCGGCGTTTAGATATGGGTTTCTCTCGCTCTAGGTAGATTACATGATTTCCCTAACTATTTTCCATCTCATTTACAATGTTATAAGGCCTCGGCTGAAACCAGGACAGTCATAGGCCGCGCTACACCAAAAGTCATGCAAAAAAAAAAACAGTCCGCTAAACTATTCACAAAGCGCAGCATCTCGGTAGACCCGCGGAGCATCACTGTTCTCAGCTGTTGATGCGGTGCTTTCACGCTAAGCTAACACACATTTTAACACGTTGACGACATTCTGAGCCACCGGTGGCTCAAAACTCCTCCATCACTTCGGTCTCAATTGATCTTGTTCTTGCTTTTGAGTAACCTGTGAATGGTGAATGTCCAACAGGGAAGATCTAGGAAAATGATGCTGCCTGCATGGGATATTTTGAATTAAAAATTGAAATTTTCAACTAGCTACTGCTGCGGCAGCAACCTCCAAAACAGTTCTTTTTGGACGGAACCGTGGCTGCAGGGACTGCGCGGGGCTTTGATCGAGAACGTGAGATCTTATTCGCCGTTGGCGCCATATGTCGCGAGATCTTATTCGTCGTTGGCGCCACATGACGCCAGTAGGGGCCATTTCGGCGTTAGCAGTCTTTTTGACACTGAGTTCGATAGAAACCTCTATACTTAGGTTATTTGACATCCTTGTCACGAATATATCGTTGCCTTTCAAGGCAAACGCCACATTTGGGGAATCGTGATCGCGCTAAAAAGTGGGCGTGATCGCAGAGGGCGGGGCATGAGATGACATTCAATAGGGTCAAGGATGGTTGAAATAGCAGTCCCTGCACGATTGACTCATCATTTTGCAAAATTTGACATAGCGGCGAAAAAGTGGTTCACGAGGGACAATATAAGCCACCGGTGGCTCAAAGCGGGCGCAGGCGAAAACACGCCATTGTCCCACGCGCTTTCCCGCAAAACGCGATTGTCGTCAACGTGTTAAGGGGCATTAAATAGAAACAAAACAAGGCTCTATACAGTCCATCTCTGTTAGTCCCTGTCAACCATACTGTTTTGTAACCTCCTGTGAGCTTGCCTTGTAGGCTGCGAATACAGCATTTAGTGTTGGGTGCCAAGAAAAGATGGTGATGCAGTGGATGAGAATTCCTGCTTAGAGAAGGAGCACCGAGTGGATGAAAAAGCCTCTTGTACAAAAGCTTCTGCATCTCGCGTGAAATGGTTCACAGGAGCATAGAACTTCACAAAAAAGCGCTGTGCTAACGGCAATTATCAAAATGTCTCACTGTGTTACACTACTGTGAAGAAAAGCAAAATAATTATTGAGCTGGATGATAAACTGAGTGAAATGGATGAAATGAGCACAGTGGCTTCTCGCCACTGATTAAAGGGAGCTGCAGCATTGGCCGTGGAGCACGATGTGCCGAATCAGCGTTGGCGTGTTTGCTGTTGGCGCACGATGTTTCGTCACTCAGCCCTCACCTGCGTTTCAGTTTTCACTGGCACAGATCTGCGATAAGTTCCAGAGATCTTCCACATGTTGAGTTGGCTATCGATGATAGCAGTGACTGAAAGTCTTTCGGAGTTCCAGATATGCGTGCCCTCTTATGTCTCTCATCTGAAGCTGCATTCTAACCTCGCGCTCGCAAATCACGCCGCCTCTTTTTCTTTCTTTATATTTCTTCATCTCGATATGAACATGTTGAGTGCTGGTCGGGAGATGGTCAAGGCAATCGTTTTGCCGCTCCGTCGCGCACGGCAGTGGACGCGACGTTTTTTTTTATTTGCACTGGCTTGTCAGTTGTAGCACCGGGTTTCATGCAGGCTAGGGAATTATACACGCTTTTGACTATTTTGCGGTTATACATTGTCTAGCGTCGTCATATGCGGCGGGAGGTCGCACGCGACGTCCGCCAGCCCGGCGACTTACCGATTGTCTTGACATACACTCTTAGCGCACTGTTGGGCACGTGTCAGGCATTTTTTCACAGTCTCAGGCCCGGAAGAAAGCTGGGAAGTCTGGGAGAAAGCAATAAATAGTCATTCGATGGAGAATCGCCAACGCCCAACGCAACCGCCGCCGGTGGCGCGTTGGGCGAAAAGCAGTAGATGTGTCGCGATTCGTGGCGAAAAGCGCCACGATGAAGCTGGCGTTTTTGTCGAAGCGCGAAAAACGTCGCAGTTTCGGGCGGAAAGCCCGTCGAAGCCCAACACCAGGCTCTTCGCCAACCGCCAGTCGATAATGTGATCGAAAGCTTTTCGCCGAACCGTCGCGTTCGAAGCGGAAGAACGCTGGACCGCAGAGTGTGAACAATGCCTCAGCCAGTGTGATTGTGTCACCCTATCAAAGTCGTTCTCTGCTTTCTTGTTCAAGAGCTCATGCGACAAAAAGTGGTACAAGGCGAGTAATACGAGGGATATGATACAGCATTGTCACTTACCCGCGTCAACAGCTGGTGTAGAACGAGTTTGACACCACGCCGAACGCGCCGCACTGACACGCCCAACCGTCCGCAGTAAACTACACTATATACCCGTGCTGGTCCTCTAAATATGTTGCTATAGGCCTGTGTCGAACTCAAATGAAACAGTTTTGACCGCAGTTTGCATATTCCCTCGTGAAGATTTCCATTTCAGGTAACTAAGCCTCAAAGAGCGCTTCTCCCCAAACTACACTCTTTAGTCTTCATTATGGAGAGTGTCTCCGCAACGCCATCTCAAAATGTAGCGGTCTCAGTTGATGAGTACTGTAAGTCATCAGCAAATCAACTGACATTTCTTATCAGTAAGGAGCACTTACAGAAATTATTTGTTCCAGTGGAAAGGATCTATCTGCGTTTTGCCATGACTGAATCCGACGAACAACTTCAAAAGTTCACCGATGCATACCTAGTTCGCCTGATAGAGACCGCGAATACGGAGCCGAATGCACTAACAAAGGTAGGATCTCGTTGAATCCTTCATAGAGCTTTTACTCATTCCAGTTCCATTTATAGATAAGGGAGATCCTCAGTCATTACAATCGTCGCGCCAAAGCTGTTACATCAATCAGGTATCCTGTCGAAGCTCTTCTGGGACTGGTCAAAGAAAAAGGCCTTGTTGCAACGGTAATTTCTGCGTTTGACTGGTTTTTTTCTGCGCTTATGTAAAATATTTGGCGGTAATGTAATTGGGCAGGGGGCTTTCACTTGGCCGCTCTCTGTACCCCTTCCTCAAGGAGGCTTAAGCTTAGAGCGCAGACCACCAGAGTCGCAGATAGATAGTCTCACAGAAACATAGTCTTCACCAAGCCTGAGCCTTGATTAGAGCATAAGATACTCAGGCAGGTGACTGAGTGGACCCACTCAACGTGGTTAACGCCAGTTATTTTATGATGCTCTCCTTGTATATACTGGACTCAATTTCTAGAACCTCTCCTTAGTATATCTGCGGTTCGCTTCCGGAAATCTTTCGGAAGAAGAGCGGTTGAGATTGCTGCCCTTATACTTCGAAGTGCTCTCGTGCAAAGTCAATGAAACAATTCATTGTGCCGAGTGAGTCCTTTGTGAAATTTTGGTAACTGTCACTATAATTGAGGCCAAATCATAACCATTCAGATTGCTGTCGCTGTGTGTTCCTGCTTTCATGATACTCACCCAAAAAGAAAAGCACCTGTGGCCCAAGTTGGTGTTGTCAGAAAATGTGAAGCTGCTACTTCTCAGATTTCTTTTTTGCATAATAGCGTTTCCAATCGATCCTCCGTAAGTCACAATTCCTTATTCTTCAGAATATTGTCACAATTCTGGTGTATTTCAGCGATGTTATAAAGTCCACATGTACAGCTCTTACAAATGGTGAGAAGATAGCTACACCGGCTATTACCGCCGACGAATACCTCATGATCGCTGGAAAAGTGTTCACCAAGGATGTCACCCTTGTTCCGGTTTGTGCACCAAATTCAACTCATATGTGACAATCAGATCGCGCAAAGCAAACCACCGGTGCCAACGGTTAAGGCGCGGTATGAACGCTTTCGTGGATCCCTCATGATAATCGTGAAATTTTATCTGGGAAGTTAACATTTAGTCACACATTATCGCAGCTTATATCCTATGCGACGTATACTTTGATTATGTGGCCCACGAACAAACACAGGGTGCTTTCGGTTCTTTTTTGGGCCCCGTAGTGTCGAGAACTGTGCTTTTCAAAGTGTTCTTATGTGCAACTCGGAGTGATCTCTTTTCAGATAAAGTTATGTGCCCTAAAGCTTCTTACTTCTGGATTGTTCGATGATGCAGCTATTTTTTCTATCCTTGCTTTAGCATCAGCCCAAAATGTTGACGCGTGAGTTTTTAGTTTCCAAATTTGATTAGACTTTCGAATCCTATTCGGATTACAATATTCCAGAGTGACTGATGCAGCTGAAGCCGCTCTGAAGAAGATTGACATGTACGTCCTTTTCAGTATCATTATTGCTTCTAAATTGTTCAACTCTATGTCACAGCACTGTATTTTGTAGTCAAGCATGCGTAGACAACAGAGCGGTTGTCGACGAATTGATGGCCATTTATCTGGGAATGACGATGGTAACGAAAACAGTAATGGGAAAAAGCACAACACCTTCTCCAGCTAATTCATTGATGAAGCAGAAAATCTTGCAATATCTCACACGCTCGACGATTGCGCCAGTGACCTATATGAATAATATGAAGGTACCTTCGATTTTAATGTTCTTGTTTTTTTTCGTTCATCATGGTGTCATCATGGTCTCCTAATAAGGTCACTGGCGCACATTGGAGAATCCTGACAGGAGGGTCAACAGAACATTTTTCCGATGTTCGTTTTCTTGTTTCTAACGGTGCTACCATATATTTCCTATTTGATGGCACCACCAGCCATCATTCTGACAGTAAAGACGAGCCTATTCCCCGCGGCGGCAAAATTTTGGAAAAGTCTGCTGAGACGTCGGTCGGTTGTGAAAGCGGAACGTATCCGAGGTGAATATTTGATTTATATAGTCGCAGTCAGTCGGGGCGGTTTCGATATAGAATAATCCCACCCCGGCGCTTTCAAAGCACTTGTTTTCATCCTGAGCCCATCGCTAACCGATTACTATTGGCAGAGGAAGACAGCCGGAGGCGGTTTCATTCCCTCGACCTCTCTCTAACACCGCCCAACAGATTGGGACGATATCTAGTGTATTTGGCATGCAGTTCCCCAACGCCAAGACTTGCTCTGCTCCCCATATTTAACCTGATTTTGGCTAAAATGACAGTCTGTGATGTTTTTCGAAGCGAGAACACTTGCATCAACCGGTATTCGATGCCAACTTATGCTAACTCCTGCAGTACTACCCAGTACATGCTCAGGCAAACTTTCAGATATGTCTCGATGGGCTCACACTAACTTCGTACACCAAACTTCTCGTAGCTGCTCTCAATTTCCTGCACAAAGTAATCGAAAAAATGCCTGCAGCTGCACAGAAAAACTTTTCGGCTCTATTATTTGACCGAATTCAGAAAGTTCGAGAGGAAACCAAGGTACTTTCTTTTGATGTGAATTCATCGCAAATTTGATATTTTGAAAAGTGGAAGCTTTCAGAATGGCAACGCTCTATCCTTGATCTACCGCTGTATGGGCATAATTGGAAAGCGAGATCCATCCATTGTAACACGACAGGTGGAGACAATACCGCTCACATTCAAGGAGATTGCTAAGGTGGGCTTACTTCCTTAAAAAATGGTGAGGGGATTTTTCATGTTGGGACGACCTCAGTTCTTAACATTTCTTTGTAGTCCCCAGATGATGTCGCGTACGCCGTTGTCGACTGCCTTACCCAGTGGCTGGAAGGATTCCGCAAGTTAACGGATCAGTCGCTCGACGTGAAACTCAAATTACTTATTCAGGAGTTCCTCACACATGTAGGTATGATCCATTGCTGTAGTTTAGTTAGAGGCTTGACTTACTACGTTATGTGTACTTTCGTACTTTTGTAAGAATATAGGACATACATGGGGAAAAAATCCTACATTGGTTATCTATAGAAATGCATCCTAGGGGCCTTTTAAAGTGCTAAAGCCCTAGTCCGAAACGTGTCTTCCACTATTTCACTAACTGAACAGATATGCATAAAAGTTGACTCATAATCTTAAATGGAGAAAAGCTTTGCATTTGCGAGGTCTATCTTCATTTTATCCCTTCGCGAACGCCTTTAGATGCTTCTTTTTATCTTTACTTGCCAGCCGCGGAGAAACCATAGACTGTCGCGCATTTTTGTATTCCTCGAATGTCCTTCCTATATAAGGCACATATATGTAGAGCTAAACCTTCCTGCATGTTTCACTAAAATCTTCGGTTAGTGCGGTGAGGCATGCTCCTGTTTGTTTACTGGCCCTTTTGCTTGATTTCTCTATTTTAACAGTGATGTTTTCAGGAAAATTCCAAGTGCCGATTGATAGCGTTGAAATATATGGAAGCATTTTTGACATCAGCTGACTTTGATTTGAGATGGATGCTCTTGCTAGCCTGTGGAGATAAGTCAGTCTGTCCTTTTTCTTGTTTAGTGAATTCTCCTCTTATTACCCGGTTATTTTCAGTCGAGATGAAATACGCGGTGAAGCATCTCGTCTCCTTGACGTCTCTTTGAAAGTCGACGTCCCTGCGGAAGCGGTTGTTTTATATTTGTGGGAGTGTCTGAAAGGCGATATAGTTGATCCTAAAACTGGAAAGGAAAAGTCGCCGTCATCACAAGTTATTTCCCCACTCGTTCATCAAATGGTATGGAATTCTTTCAGAAGCCTTTCTTTGGGTTTTTTTTGCAGTAATTTTCCTTCTTCAGAGCACACGGTATATATGGGCAGTGATGGCGAAAGCAGCCGGTGTGCATACTGAACTGAAAACTGTCGACAGTGGTCATGAGTGGAAGCAAATCGCTCCCAAAATTGCTCAACATGTCAAAAAGCTGTGCTTCTTTTGCCAAGAATGTATGACAGAGATTTCCCTTCATGCTCTCAAAGAAGCACAAGGTGCGCAATTTCAGTTCTTGGATTTTTGCAGGCGTTCTTGTGTGGTAGTGAAGTCACCCACATTAACTTTTCATTACAGAGGTGCCTTTGTTTCACATCGCAACGTGTTTTTCGGCTGTATATCCTCCTAAGAATCCTCCGCTGTCACTTTTAATGTCGTTCATTCAACGAACTCGTGGAACTACGCGCTCCGATTTGGCTAACGTTGCAGCACATCTAGCGGCTTCCTTACTGAACAGCAAGGAACGTGAAACGATGTTTCCTGCGGCTGTTTCGGCGCTGGAGAGAACAGTAAGCGAAACTTTTTTGAAAATGTTAACAAGTTTCAAAAACTTGTTTTGTTTAATGGGTTGGAAGCACAACCAGGCAAAGTGGTCCTCGTAAGTACTGCTCAGCTCTTCCCTTTTACAGTCATGGTCCTGCAGACGATAGGGATGTGACGCGGCGCGTAGCGGGGCGCAACCAGGACGCCGTTTTTCATTATTCATATCCAAACCCACTACACTGCGTGAAATGATCAGGCTGCGCTCTAAACCATGCCCCGTCAGACGCCCTAGCGTTTGCAGGTATCTCGACTGTACACTAATAGGAGTGTGTAAGTGATTCATGGAAGTTTCAGAACGTCACGGCAGGGGATTGTTGGCTCGCCAGTGCATTTATTGCTTCTCATGCAACACCTCGTTCAAGCGTCCTGTCAGTGATTAATCAGCTGGTCAACATAGCTGAAGAAGGATATAACAAACCGAATAATGTGTTAGAGTCCGCTCTGGGCTCTTTGGCCAACATACTGCGCACGATTCTGTTTCATGACAAGGTTTGTTTCGTTGCGGATATGCTTCAGATCGTTTTTTTTTCAGAAACCGCAATGGTGTTTTCTTCTCCATGCAATACTTTTTCTAGGATTTTGAATTACCAACAGATGTCATGGAGCGTTTATTGTCCGTTTGCGAGAAAATAGCTACTTCACGCAAAGATGCTGTTTCCACGAAAGCACATGAAGAGGCTACATATGCGATAGGCTTTTGCGCCACAACAATGGATTCGTCAGTTTATGAAAAGGTAGTTTTTGCTTATGAAAAGGTAGTTTTGCAGAGAATCCGAGGGAGGCTGGCTCTTCTTAATTTCTTTCTCTTAATTAGCTATCGGCTGTTCTTTATTCTATTGGAAGCGGTCCCCCTCAACCAGAAGTGCAGCTTGTAGTGGGATCTGCTCTGTTTGATGTAGCCCTTGGACCGTATTCAACATCACGGAGAAATTTGTACATAACGTTGGAGGAAGACTTTCAGGTAACGGTTGTGAATAGTTTTCGATTACTTGGCTGAATATTTCTTTTACAGCTGAACTCGCTCAGCAGTGAAATGCAGGAGCTTTGTGAGAAGCGTCTGGCTCAGATATTCTCCAAAATTTTCGACGAGAAGCTCTCATCAATGAGTCATCATGAACGACGTTCTGCTCTGATTTGGCTGCTCATAGTTGTTCGAAGGAGTTTCAAAGCTCGTGCATGTCTGCTGCAAGGAATGTTGGACAAGATCCAAACCGGCTTCGGGATAGGTCTCGCTGAGAACGACGGTCAGTCAGCACGCTGCTTTTCCTTTTCTTGAGGAATCTCGAATTTTTATCGCTAGTGTTCAGTTACGAGCAGAACTCTTTACCCCAGGCTCCCTCGAACCTGCCACCTCATACATTCCGGGCGAATGCACTATCCGTTACCACGCCATGGCCGTCTCCTACCATTCCTGTATAAGCTTTCGAGGCTGCAACTGCTGCGCTACTTATCATGATAAAACAATTTCTCGAATTTCTTTTGATTAGTTCCAAAGTCGTCATATTTTCAGCCCGCCAATCTCACTGTTCGGCTGAACTTGCCGGCGAGTAACCTGTATTTCAAGGGTGGGCTTCATTTCAATGGCAGTTTTTGTCATCGGAAGTAAATTTGGCCTGGAAACTTGTCCTTGGGGCTCGTTTGCTTTGCTCAACAGACCTACTGTCATACCATTGGGGCAGAATGTTTAGCACCCACGCCTCAGGCGGCAGTCTCACGGTCCCATTTGGCGCTGGTAGCTATACCGTGGGCAGGGAGCGGATCTGACTTCCATGTATGAAGGGTCAAAGTACACCATGGCAAGTAAATTTTTAGCTGAATCAACACACGGGAACGAATTTCAGTGAAGATCTGGTTCAGTTCTTGAATACTGAGGCTGCTAAAGCTTGCCATGTTCTTTTGTTCTTTTTTATATTCTAATTTACATATTCTTTTTCGGCCTTTCTTTCGTAATAGTGAAAGCGGTTTCGTAATAATGGAAGCGAGTTACTATATTTCAATGCGATTCGATTCAAAGCGAGATTTGGCAGTTGACCTTAACAACTCTCTCTTTGTCCAAGGCTAACAAATGAGTGTGCCTTCAGTAGTAATCATGAGGTTGGGCTCTTGGCAAAAGTGTGTCGTGCTTTGGTCGAACGTTTGATAACGAATACTCGTCAGTACCGACAGTATTCTCGACTCATAAGAATAGCTGGTGTCCTATTTTCGTTAGTTCAGATTTCACACAAGATGTGGCGTCAAGTGGGATTGGTTTGGTGTACGAAATGGCATCTGAGGAACAACGGAAGGCGCTGGTCAATGATCTTATCTCAAGAATTTCTGAAGGGAAGCCGTTCTCAACCACTAAAGTGGATTCCAATACAGAAATTTTCAACAAGGAACAACAGATTACTGGACCTGATGGGTTAGTGCTAGTGATGAAGAGCTCGGGAAAATATTCGCAAATGTACATTTTAGACAACATTTAACCACATATAAGGAGCTGTGTTCGCTTGCTACGGATCTTAATCAACCTGACCTAGTTTATAAGTTCATGAACCTTGCAAGGCATAATTCAGTGTGGAACCTCAAGAAGGTGGTTTTATTTCAAAAAATACAGCTGCTTTTTTTCCTCGTTGTTTCATATCATCAGTATACCAAATTCAGGGAGCCGCTCTGGGTTTCGCAGCTGTGTTAGAGGAAGCCAGCAACGAATTTGAACCATTCATCGGGCAGCTAGTGCCGAAATTGTTTAGGTGGGTATGCTCTTATAGATTTCAAGTGACATATCAGAAACATCAGTGTTGATTGGAAGCTTCTCCTTCAGGTATCGTTATGACCCTGATTTGAAAGTCAGACAGTCGATGCGCTCTATTTGGAGCGTGCTTACGGCATCGCGTCGTGGCTTGGTAGGTAACATTGCACATTTTTTTCGAACTAACTATGTCTTAAATTCGGAAATAAATAGTTCATCGAGTATATGTGCCAAAATCGGAAATATGCTTCCGCATTGTCCTTTTTTTCAAATTGTGAACTCGTGAACTGAATAACCCATAGCTGTTCAGGTCGAAGAATATGCAGATGACATAGCCAAAGAACTTCAGCAACAGTTGACAAGTCCCGAGTGGCGTGTCAGAGAGTCAGCGTAAGTTGTACTCAAGTTGCTGTTTCATTAAAATGCCTATGTGTCATGCTGCTGTTGCTTTATTCCAGATGCCTGGCATTGTCGGATTTGATTCAAGGAAATGATTCTCGATACATTCGCTCGATTACTCCCAGTCTTATGCTGACGATTTTCAGACTCCGTGACGACGTAAAAGTGTGTCAGCTTACGTCAGCTTCCTTGTATTCGATAAGGCCTGAACTTTTCATCCCATGCATACGGTATCGAAGGTTACTTTCTCAAAAAGCATTCAGGAGTCCGTTCGCCAGTCCGCAAATCGAGCCATTAACACTCTGGGGAAACTAGCTGTTCGTCTATCGTCGGAATCACCCAAGGGTCATGATCCACGCGTTTTCATTAGCTCACTGCTTCCTGTCTTGATCCAGAATGGGATCCATTCAGAAATCAAAGTTAATAAACAATTCAGGTACTGTCTCGCATCTCTGTTGATTAGAATCCACGAATCTCTTTAACGGAGATTTTCAGTATTTCTCTTTTGCTGGAGCTGAGCAAAACGGCTGGTTCACAACTTCGTCCTCATCTCGCAGAACTTATTCCCTCTCTCATCGATACGATAAGTGATACTGAACCAGCAATCCTAAATTATGTGGCGGCTCGCTCAACTCTGGACGAATTGGAAATGGTGAGGTTGTGAGCTATATTTTCTGCACTGTGTTTTGTACCTATGCATGGGTGGTGTATGGCGAGTGACACGTTCACGACACGCGTTGTCTGGGTATTTAATCGTTGACTGGCTCCTGCACAGGCAACCAAGCCTTCTATTCTCTATGAACATTAAATTTGTAGTGGATCCGTGTGGAAAAAAAAGACACTGACTGTACATCGGTTGATCCCCGCAGTCATTGTATGCCATCAGTAAGTCGCTACGATACTAAATGCAAGAAGAATGCGTGCCGCATCCCGGAAGATTGATCAGTAGCGGGATCTTTATCTTTCCTTTAATCCATCTATTTTGTACCTAGTTATTGTTTATCGTGATGGCAGTTCTTTTCCATTTGGTCAGGGTAGCATTCACCAAACAGTGAAGAAAAAATTAATTCTAAAGATTTTCACGAGCTTGTTTTCAGTTGGATGATGCAAGAGCTAAGATGGCACGTACTTCTCCTATGATGACCGCTATTCAGGATCTTCTTCCACAGGTGATTATTCTAGCATTTTCCAAGTATCACTGCTGCAAAAAACCGCTGAATTTTTTGCGGAAACCTCTTCAATATCAGCTATTCGCTCCCTTGATCACATAGCAGTAATTTAGGCGCCCACTCGGCATTAGACGCCCTTTCAGCGGAATTTTTGTAAGCTTGTATTCTTGGCTCAGTCCTGAACCATGAAATTTATTTTCAAAGTCACTGCTGAAAACGAGGGTAATTTCCATGATCAAGGCCTCAGGTATCGCTCACCCGTAGAGGCAAGTTTATAACTTATGTGGTGGAGGAGGTCATGGTACTTACATCATTCTGACTCAAAAATAAAGAATATCGTGCCCCTTGATAAGGACGTCAGATGACTCCCGTACGTATTTATAATGATTGTGGCAGGGGTGGTGACCTCTAGTTGGTCTTCTATTTAACCACATGACACAAATAGCGAGTGGTCTCACTCAACATAAGGGCACCAAGTACCGCTTGCAGACAGCGTTCCACCTGATTTCTTATGTATTGTTATGTTAAATATGACAATTACCAGGAAAGAAGAGAGAAAGAAGATCTTTAGATTGACAGCGCTGTGTTGATAGCAATACAGCCTCGATTGTGTGAGCAGTTACGATCGAGCGCGGGCGCTAGCACCAGGATAGCTTGCGCCCAGTTGCTCACGATGCTTGCGCTCAGAGCCGCGCAATTATTGGGTGACCATCAAACTCAGTGTGGTGAGCCTCCTATCCAATCAAATAGATATACCAATCGATTTTGACGATGGAAGTTTTGCAGATAAATTCTTCAACGCTTTGATATCCGGAACGCGAGATCGTAATCCCTCTGTACGGAAACACTTTGCGAGCGCGGTTTCATACATGGCGAAGTACGCCTCGCCGTCATCGTTTGAAGCACTAATGCGCACTGTGCTGAAGGATCTCCTTGCGGATGATGGTAAGTTGATCTGTCTCCTTCTTTTATCAGGAACCAGACATCCCCTGCGTTTCGAATGGGTATCCCTTGATATTCAAAGAAAGCAGATAAGAGCGCTGAGCTTTACGTCGTCTGGCTACAGCAGGTCATTCTATAGGCCAATTCCCACCAGAATGACACTACTATCTGAACGGCAGTAGAATGCGTGGTGCAATTCAGAAAGAGATTGGCTGACGATGAAAATTGTCTCTTTTTCCTTTGCACTTGATACCACTATCTTTTCCTTGCAAATTCCTCGATTTTTCAGAGTCCATGAAACAGTCTGCAAAGCACGTTTTAAAAAACTTGTCAGCAAACTGCCCGGAGCTTCTTCAGGGGTACTCCAAACTTGTAGTGCCTTACATATTTATGGAGACATGCCAGCATGGTAAGGTTTTCACCTTTCGTTTGTTGCGGGACGTTATCAGATCAAAGTGGGAAGTGCTATCCCTTTGAAATGGTTTTTACAGTAGTCCGTGGTGATGAAACCTCCAAAAAGCGGCAGGAGGAATGGTGTGATCTCTGGAATGAAATCGTACCCAGTAAGTTCAAATTGATCTGCATTTTTTCCTTCCGGTGCGGTCATATGCTCAGTTTTCCGTCAGCTGTATCATCGGCCTTTCGCCCTTGCTGTTATAACATATTTATTCCTCCTTTCTCTTTTCGGTAGGTATGCGTTTCAGGTACCGAGGCAGCCGTTCGCATGTACCGTGAAGAAATAATCTCTTTCATTCTGGATATTCTCCGAAATAATGATGTTTGGTCCGTCCGCGCTCAGGCTGCACGGATGCTAACGGAAACTACAAAGCATCTTCAGGAGAGATTAGAAGGCGCAGATGCAGGTATCCGTTCCAAGTGTTGGGCACTCCACTATTGTGTCAGCAAAAGTTCGCCCCTCTCAAATGAAGCCGTTCAGCATCTCTGCTTTCATCACTTCTCCCCATGCTTTCTGGCCGGATATGGCCCGGTAAAGAGGATCTTCTCTCGGCAGTAGGGACGATTTTCTCGTGCGCAGGTCCATCACTTCGTAAAATGTGGAGCGATAAGGAGGTGGAAGAGGTGAACAAGGAACCAAATAGTTTTCTCAATGTTGTATTCGCTGTCAACATGTACAGTACTTCCAGGTCTTTGCTGTTATGAGTAGAGAAGCTTCAAAGAGAAAGAAAGAGTACTCATCTGCTGGTTTATTGACTTGCGCTCTGTTTTCACGGAGCCTTCCGTATCCACAAGGTGCGCAGTGGTTGTTGCAGAAAGTCGGCGAGAATGTGCAGAAAGCACTGGATCCAAGGTATATTTTACCCTTCTACGACTTATTCCTATATGCTATCCACAAATCTAGGGCAAGATGAAAAGCCTAAAAAGCTTTGCCTCACTTTTCACTGGAATTATTCGCGATTTTCAACAAAATTATCGAGAACTCGTTTCTAGTAAAGATGATGATCAGTCTGATGAAGAGCTGAGTGGCGCTTCCACAAAGGAGACTAAAGTGGTGGAGTTCGTCAGTCAAAACATGGCTGCCTTGGCTAAGGCAGTTGGTGCTTTCTCTGAAGGTTCGAAAAGTGTGATTTCTCATTTACCTCTTTCTCCCTTTTTTTTGTAGAGAAACTGTTTCTTTGTTGCTATTCTCTTATTAGTTTTTGTATTGTCATTGTTTCATTTATCGTATAGGAAAGAACGCGGCTCCAGCGGTTGACGCACTATGCTCCTATTTGACGTCACCGGGGCTCTTTTGGAAAGCAAAACAAACTTTGTCAGTATCGCTTTTGGAGTTGATCGAGAGGTTTGTCAATTTTGACTTGCTCAGAGATAAGGTTACTCTTTAAAATCCCCTCCATAGACGCTCTCTTTTGCCAACATTTAGTAGTCTTTTATGGTTATACATCCGAACTCATCAGTTTGTATCACTTTTTGAATTACCACCTCACTTTGTGGTACTGTTTAACAACTATTTCCCCTGGTAGATTTACATATGAGCCAATGTTTTTTTCCCAGCTGGCAGCTGCAGTCACCGATTGAAGCGACTCAGCTCGTCGACTCGTTGTTAACAATGGCTGAAGAAATGATTGGCCAGCAGAGGAAATCCATAGCGATGCAATGTATAGCTGTGAGTTACCTGTAATTTTTGTAGGTTGCTTATTTCAAGAGATTTCCTTTTCTAGGTAATTTCGAAGATCACGCAGCGTCAAGAGTCGTTTGCTGTACAATGGGACGAGATCAAGTCAAAATGGGAAACAAGTCAAGTGATCCAGGAAACTAATTTATTTACCGATCTCGCTAGTCCAAACTTGGGTGCTATTAATGAAGTCAAGCAGTAGAAATGTCGCTTTTTTCGCTTTGTTACTGTTGAGAGCTTGTTTTTTTGCCCAATTACGAACATACGGATTCAAATTATACTTGACTTATGGGTGAATAAAAGATTCAAAATAGTTCATCTTGCTTACTTATGTGTTATTTCGCGAAATATTGCGCAAGTGAGAAAACCGAACTCGCTATTAAAAAAAATTGCTAATTGGCATATTTAGTTGTGGCATGTCGTCAAGTAAGTTCAGTGATGGCAGCAAACCGAGAGTAGCTCATAGATCGAGTGCCGCTTCTGATGAGGTACTGCAATCGCTAGAGCATAAGCGCCTAGCACTAGCTAAGGTTTGAGACCATTCTGTTCGTGTTTCTTCTCGCTGCACCAGCTAAACTGTGTTCCTGTCAGATCGCCGCCTCTATCGGTGGAAAGAAAGTAGCAAAAGGGCCAACCGTTGTTAAGCATTTTGCAAATGGTGTTGCACATCATGGTAAGTGAGTTCATAGTTATGTCAGGTTCGCTGAAGATTCAGCGGTTAATTGTCTGTCAGAATCCGTACGTAGACTTATTATTGATAGGACCTGATGTAAAGAAGAAGAAGATTATTCACAGTGACGATGATGAGGATTTCATCGTTAGTGATGAGGTTGAGGACGCGGATGAAGAATTTATGCTTAGTGATGAGGAAGAGAAACGCCCTAGGAAGAAGAAGAAGACTGGTTTACAAGCCTGGCTGAAGTAAATTCTTTTTCCTTTCTTTCAGTGACTTTCATTTCATATTCTACTACGATGTCACGTCGTTTTCATTAAAACCCTGACGAAATTTCAACATTCTTAAGCGAACAAGAAAGTGCAATGGCTCAACTGTAGAGAACTTGCAAGAGAAACACCCTTAAGCCTTTGAAGCTTACATGAAGTCTTCGACTGCGAGCGTCACATGGGTGACACGTCGGGAACCTCATACTACTAGCAATAAGAAATAAACTTGCTGCCTCATTATGGAGCACTTTATGGCAGCGGGAAGGGTACCTGCCGAAAATGGGTTGCTCTTACTGCCCGTACAGGCTCAACCTACTTACAGAACTGATTGGGCATTTTTGCGAATCGCGAAGTATGTTTCAACTCTTTGAATGAGTGCGTTTAGGTTCCGATTCCGAAATGACTCTATTGTGCTCACCCTGCTTTTGGCTCAACAATTTTCCCTAGCTTTGCTTCCAAAAGAACGCAAACATTCTGCCATGATCTGTGATTGTTTAGTGAGATACAATGAAGATAGACATTAATGTCTAGTTTGATTCGTTTTTGTTGGATTTTCCTACTGATTTATATTTATAGAGAAGCGCCCAAGAAGTCGGCATCTGGTGTCCTGAATGATTCCGCGACCAATGCTTTGGGACTTGGGCGATCAGGAGCATCCGAGTGAGATTTGTTTTGCCTTTATATCACGTTTTCTTAGAGTAGTCTGTATCATTTTGGCGCAATGCTTTACACAATTCAGAAAAGTGCGAACGCTCTCCGAATCAAGTGAAGAGGAATGGCTGTGCAAGCCGCGAATAGATGAAGAAGCCAAGGTTTTCAGTTATTATTTGACCATGGTGCACTTCAGCATTTCGTGACTCTTCAGCGTATGAAAACTCGTGTATCGGACTCTCCTGTGAAGAAACGTTCACGTATCAAAGCGGTTCTCTCTGATGAAAGCGATGACGATGAAGAAGAAAAACTGACGGTAGCTCAGATCTTGATTGATTTCGAATCCCTGATTTATATTATAAGACAGAATTTATTATAAACTTTATTATTAACATCTTACCCTAATACTACGGTAATATTGCTTCTAGTCCGCACCTACGTTGAAGAAGGTGGCCAAAGCTGCGGCAAAACATGGCCGAAAGCGGAAAAGATCTTCCGACGAGGAGTACCTAGATGATGGCAGCGAGAAAGGATCCTATCGTGGCGGACATTCTTCAGAAGAGGCGTCTTCAGATAGTGACGTTAGTGTTTCTATCCTTCACTATCACTCGATGACGCATTTCGGTCACGGGAGATATTTTGCACTTTTGCTTCTCCCCATCGACTAGGGGATCAATCACGTCAAGACCTTTGAAATCTCGTGAAACCACGAAGTGATACCAGACAAAGTTTATAAACATGTCAATTCTTGTAAAGCATAAAGGTGAAATACCATTTGAATATCTTTTACCATAGTAGCTCGACGACAATTGCCCCAGCTTCACAAGAGTTCACAGGTTTCACCAGAGTGAGTCTTGTAAACCGTAACTAGTGGAGCAGCGAAAGCCTAGAATGCCGCTTCTTCCCCCCCCCCTCCCCCCGTCACCGGATTGCGCCCACTTTCGTGTAACCTTCAAGAGCAAGCCTGCAATGTCGCCGTTTGGTCATGCGCCTTCGCTTTGCTGTTTTCCGTCTTTGTCCTTCTGTATGCTGTTTTCCGCTCTCTCATTGCTAGTACCGATTTTTCTCTAGTGATTCCTTTAGTTTGCTAGCCTCCGTATTTCTCTTTTTCTTTTTGATCTTAGTTGCTCGTGCTTTTCATCTCATGACAGTATGCTTCAGGTCTATGTGAAGCTGCTAAGAAGAAAAGTCTTCCCTCTTTCAAAAAAACTTATCAGTACTCAAAAGACATAAAAAACCTTCAAATTGGTAAACCACCATTCACTATTAAGGATGAAGAACACCACTCACGTAACGAAGGAGAAGATCACATGATGCAAGAGTGTGTTGAATTCTTCAACACAGCTACACGTCCACAACTCAGTGCTACTCCACGAATGACTGAAAAGATTATATCTAAAATCGTGGATCGTCGTCCGTTCAAATCGTTCGCTGAAATGGTAAGCGTCGTCTAGCTTGCCTGCCTTAGTTTCCATTTGAGTTCATGCCATATTAATCAACTTCAAGGAAGCCGCCTTTGCGGAAATCCCGCGAGCAACTGGAGCTTTGGACGCTTATATGGAGTTTCTCGAAAATCGTGGTGTTTTGGAGAAAATTCTAGATGACTGCAAGGACCATGCCGCCTCCGTAGCAGCGGAATTTGAACGGTGTACTAATCGACGAATTAAGCCATCGCTTTTGGATGAGAAGTTAGTGCTTCAGCGTCTATAATGCTCTAAAAAAGTCTGAGTATGATTGTTCAGTTGGTACTTTATTTGTACAGGTGTTCGCTGCACGAATATCAGCTCGTAGGCTTGAACTGGCTTGTGATGATGCATGAGAAGGGATTCAACTGCATCCTGGGTGATGAAATGGTGAGATTTTGTACATTTCTTCAATTTCGCTTCCCATTATCTTTCGTTTTTTTGTCACGCGTTTGAGTAAATATTATTCAAGTTTTATCTTGAGGGCTTATTTTTCTCCATGATTTAGGGTCTCGGCAAGACTATTCAAGTCATAGCATTCATAGCTTATCTTATGGAAGCGAATGTTCGCGGTCCACATCTGATTGTTGTGCCGTCATCAACAATTGAAAACTGGATGGCAGAATTCATTAAATGGTGCCCGAAAGTTCGCGTATGTTTAATCAGGTTTATTTACCAGTGTCGCTTTTTGTTGCGTGAGTTTACCTGATTGAGCCTAAATTGGACATAACATAAGCGGACTGTTTGGAAAACCCTAGTGCCATGAAAGGAGGTAGAAGAGGTGGAAGTCACTATCGAAGAAGCGATTGTTCAGAATGAGCGAACGCTTAGGTGAACATCCACTACAAGTAGGCATCGCTCGGCACTGACGGAAGAAATCCGCGGCCGCCTCATAACCCTTTGACGACATTTCCCTTTCGATTGTTATCAAAATTGTGCTTAGCTGCGAGAAAGGCGGACGGTTCCAAGATCACCTCAAGAATGGCATGCTTGCCACTGTTTGAAGACAGATTGTACAGCAACCCCCGTGAATCCTGCTTGAGGTTGTATGGCCTCGCAGCTTTAGAGCTCGCCACTTTCTCTGCTCAGAAGTATATGGGAGAAGTTGGATCCAGCTGCCGTCTACGTACTCTGCCCGCCGTGTCCTCATCGTGCAGGACTTCGAAACCAAGGCCCCGCAACGAACTCGCAGTCAAGTAGTGAACAACCAGAAGTGAAAGGACACAGGTAGAGCATATGGCTGTGGTCACGCGCGTGGCATGCCGGCATGTTAGTATTAGGGAGCCGTGTAAAAATCTATCATCTAGGTTATTAATTGTATTCTATTGTTCATTTGTTGGTCGGTAGCTAGGAGTGAGCCCAGTGATATCGTCCTCACCATCCGATTTTTCAGCTGTTAACCTACTATGGAAGTCAGGAGGAGCGGCGACAGCTGAGGCATATGGCTAAGAAAAAGAAAGAGAATGTAAGTTCTTCAGAGAGCTGTGGTTATGGATTTGTTGCAAGTTCTGATCCACACAAAACACAATTTAAAGCACGTACCTTTTTAGATTGATGTTATTCTCACAACCTACAATATGATCTCATCAAAGCACGATGACAAGAAGTTCTTCAAGAACTTTAGTATACACTATGTTGTATACGACGAGGGCCACATGCTTAAGAATTGCGGTACAGATCGTTATAGAAATCTGATGAAAGTCAGGGTAAGTGTTGCAAAAGTAGCCAAGCGAGCAAATAGCTATTCTTTAATACAGCCGTGATAATTAAACTTCCAGGGTAAACGGAAAGTGCTCATGACAGGAACTCCTCTACAAAATAACCTCATTGAATTGATATCCCTGATGTACTTCGTTATGACACACATTTTCACAAAGTATTGTGAGGATATTGCTCAGCTTTTGCAGCATTTCAAACAGGTAATGTTCCAAGCCAACTCTTCTGGGAAGCTTAAAAAATCAGTTCAAACACAATGGAAGTCGAGGAAAAGATTGCTGATTACTTGAACTTCCATGGTGCTGTCATAGAGGCATCGAAATGTAGCGAGCTAGGGGAGCGCTTCTTCAAGGGGAGGTACCCGGGATGGGTGAGACGCCTAGCACGTGAGAAGTAGAGATGTGTGAGGCCACAATGGTCATAGACGGTAAGGGCCAGAGGGCTCAGATGAACGCAGAAAGTGGAACGAGATCAAAAGGATTTAGTTCAAATTGCCCGTAAACCTGAAAAAAGGTCGCTAAGATGTGTTTGCAGCAAGGTCCTGCCCTTGAATCGGGCTCTTGTTCTATGTATCAAAAGGACAGGATAGAGCAAGCAAAGCAGATCTTGCAGCCGTACATGCTCAGGAGACTCAAGGCTCAGGTACTAGTGAGCTAATCTCGTATGTTACGGTCTACCTTCACTAGTTGTCCTTTTAGGTTCTGTATCATTTACCAGAGAAGCACGAAGAAGTTATAGAGGTGGAAATGTTGGAGAATCAAAAGGAGTTGTATGAAAACGTTTTAGAAAGGTAGGTCCTTGGACCTCTTCCCATTCAACTCCACTACCTATTCTATCAGTAAAATCACCTCATGTCAATTTGACCTGTTTGTTATTACTTCAGAATTTTCCGATTTGATGATTGATCGTCACAGACGATTTTTCTAATTTTCACAGTGTCCAGGAATCATTTTAGTGTTCGAGGCGTAGACGGAGACACAAATAATGCCTATGGAGCACTAATGCGTTTGAGACAGGCAGCAAATCACCCCTTATTGAGAAGGACTCAGTATACGGACTCTCTACTAGACAAAATGGCAAAAACTCTGTGTGCCAAGGTATTTGATATGCTCGTTACTACCCTATATTCAAGGCCAAAGACACCTAAAGTTCGAAAAATTGTAGGAAATTTTTCTTTTAACCTAATATCTTCACTATTGATGACATTCACGTCTCATATTTATTTATCATTTATATACACCATAAGGTGTGCCGCAAATTGTTACGCCACAAACAGGTAAACTCAATATTTACACTACACATTAGCACAGAGGGAAGGAGCATACACTACTCATACTGCCACCTGAGAAGAGATAAATGTTTATAAGTCAAGATACTAATTGAACATCTAATGTATTGGGTTGGCACATAAGTACTTTCGTTTTTTTTCAACCGGAAAATTCGTTCAAAGATGAAATGTTTTGTTAGCAAGCTTGATATCATCTGATAGGAAACTTCACGTAGTTTTAGTATATCAAAACGGCTTCGGTTGAGGGAATAACTTTTGTAGATTTTTAGTCGTTGAAGTTGAAGCGAAGTCGGCGAAAATTAGCACCTTCGACAACTGCCTCTATTTGCGTATAGTCGTAGTGCTAAAATCGCTTAAGCTGCTCCATACATTTGAAAAGGTCGAGCTAGAAGTTCCAGCAAGGGAATCTTCACTAGGACGCTTTAGAACGAATTTCAAGAATTTTGAAGTCACCAGCCTTCACCTCGCCAATATTGGGCACTCACGTCTGTTCCACCTGAAATTTTATGCTAATATTGAATGTTTCGCTGATATGTTTTGCATGTTCTGATAACAAATTTCGTGCTCTATAACACTGCTATAGAAATCTGTTCTCCAGAGGTGTTTGCTTTCTGTTAAGTTCAGGTTATCATTAAGGAACGCGAGGTCGTTGAGGACTAGCGTTCCGTTCTCCTCGAATTTTATGCTATCATTCGAATGTTTTGCTAATGTGTTCTATATGTTTTTTGATAGCCAATTTCGTGCTCTATAAACTGCTTACGGTTATTTTGAAATCCTTTGAACCTTGTTTTTCAGGTGGATAATATGCATCAGCACTTCAGACATCTCCTCCTTTTCGCATTCAGCAGAGGTATCAGAGCTGCTTATGCTGCTCGGGGAAATTCGCGAAGTGTACGGAGAAGATGCCGTCCTCTCTCAAAACAGCCCAAATTGGTTCAGACGCTTCGGGAATGGTACTGATACCTCTGTTGAATTGCGAAAAGGAGGAGATTTCTGAAGTGCGGATGCTTATCGACCTGACATTCCAATATTATCCGCCTGAAAAACAAGGCATCAAACGGATTTCCAAAATAACTGCAATGCCAGTCTTATAGAGCACGAAATTGGCTATCAGAACATAAAGAACACATTAGCGAAACATTCAAATGTTAGCATAAAAATTCGTGGAGAACGGGAACGCTAGTTTCAACGACTCGCGTTCCTTAATGATAACCTGAACTTAACAGAAAGCAAACACTCTGGAGAACAGATTTCTATAGCAGTGTTATTAAGAGCACGACATTTGCTATCAGAACATTGCAAAACTCAGCGAAACATCCAAATATTAGCATAAAATTTCAAACAGACGTGAGCTGCCCAATATCGGCGAGGTGAAGGGTAGTGACTTTCAAAATTCTTGAAATTCGTTTCAAAGCGTCCTATGTGAGATTCTCTTGCTGGAACTTCTAGCTCGACCTTTTCCAAATGTATGGAGCAGCTTAAGCGATTTTAGCACTTCGACGATACGTTAAATAGAGGCAGTTGTCGAAGGTGCTAATTTTCGCCGACTTCGCTTTCAACTTCAACGACTAAAAATCTACAAAAATTATTCCTTCACCGAAGCCGTTTTGATATTCTAAAACTACGTGAAGTTTCCTATCAGATGATATCAAGCTTGCCCTAACAAAACATTTCATCTTTGGAACGAAAATTCCGGTTGAAAAAAACGAAAGTACTTATGTGCCACCAATATAATGAGTCCCACAACCATGACTGTCCCGTCCATATACTGAGGTAATTACTAGTAACTGATGCAATATCGTTCAGGAGAAGCCATATGAGAAGAAGAGATGGGAGGACGTTGCGGAAGATCTGTCCTACCAGTCCGATTTCCAAATACATCAAATATGTGAAAGGTTCCGTAGTACGAAGAAATATTTACTATGCGAAGATTTGGCACTAGAATCAGGGAAATGCCAAGTGCTGGATAAGCTGTTGCCGAAAATCAAATCAAAGGTATCGTCATTGAATGGATTAATCACTGAGGATATGTTTTCACTGGTAAATACTAAGTGATTTTCAGGGCGATAAAGTGTTGATATTTTCGCAGTTCACTTCTATGCTCGATATTCTCGAGGTGTATTTGCGAATTCGGCAGTTTTCATTCAGACGGTTAGACGGCTCGACACCTGTAATGGAAAGGTGATTTGTTGCTATATGTGATGCTGAAACTCTTGCCGGACATCCACTTTTCTGCTGTTTAGGCAGGAGATGATCAACGAATTCAACAATGATCCGGACCTCTGTGTGTTCCTGCTGTCGACACGTGCTGGCGGTTTGGGCATTAATCTGACATCAGCAAACCACATAATTCTTCACGACATCGACTTCAATCCATACAACGACAAGCAGGTTCGTGATTAATGTTTGCTTTCCACGACACCTATGAAACATTTATTCATTTGTTAGGTTCCGTAGCGGATAAAAATAATACTGTTGCTTCGATTTTTTTCCACTAGGTACATGGTAGGTGGAGCCCCGTTTCATATACGATGAGCTGGGCCGCAGACGCACACTGTATGTATTAGTTCGCCATTCGAAAGAGTGAGGCAAGACCCAGCACCACCTGTTGGGGGCCTGTGACATGGATGTGTCCGCGCCTTCATCAGTCTGCTACTGCCCTTAGTTGTATTAGGTTGTTGCATAAGTTCTTTCCCCCGACTTTTTTGTAAATATCTCAATGGCGAACCAGCCTGAAGATTAGAGCTATGCATCATCACCATCCACTACTCGATGCCAACGCTCAGGCAGCTTGTCGATTTCATCGTCCCAGACGGACGGGGGCTCGGACCCGAAGAAGGCCACAATGCCGCACAATCACCACTGTGACATGGTTTTGCACTGGTAATTGTGCGGCCCTGCAAATGCAGGGTGGCGTGGAGTGACAGCTTAGCGTGGGTGAAAGAGTATCATGTACGTCACGCACGACGTGATGACGAAATACCAACCTCCATGCAAACGAAATACGGAAGGATCAAAACAGGGGAGAAAAACTTATGCAACAACCTAATAGTTCTAGTAAGTATCACAGTTTGCGCGACTGTTCAGGCTTTCGCCCGGGCCAGCTTCGGCCAACACAGTGTTAGACGCTGCTCGATTTTTTGGGGGAAGCATTTTTTGACTTCGTTGTTTTATTTTACAAGTTCGTAACTGACAGATCTGATTTTGGTGATACCTGTAGACTCCAGTGAAACGGCAAGATGGTACATGTGGGCCAGTGGCCACTTTGGTTACCAGAACTGACAGACGCAGGTCGTCTCCACGAGGGGAGTGAAGAATGATGGAACATACAAAATAATCCACCAGATCGAAGATATCGATGCCAATTGACGGGCATTGTCAAGCGAGTGGAGAGAATCCACCCATATCGCTTTTTACCATGAGGACTTTTTACGTCAAAAGGCCCTATTGGTCGAGTGCGCAGCCCGCGGAGTGCGACAGTATCAGCTATACTATCGCTCTCCCTTCATTCTGCAGTCCCTCCTGCCCATGATCAGATAAAATACCAGAAGAAGAAGATGAACCAGAGTTTCCTGAAGTTGCATCAACGCTTATGAACTTTTTTTAATCTCATTCTAAGAAAAGTGAATTCTCGAATCCGCTTTTGGGATTCCTACAAAGCTATACCGGGCGATTGCTGCATGATTTGTATCGAAGTACTTTTGCAGGCTGAAGATCGCTGCCATCGCATGGGACAAGAGAAAGAGGTGTACGTGACTAAGCTAGTTAGCAAGGATACCGTTGAGGTTGTGTGACTAACCAGCACCAGCTTGTTATTTGTGATTTGATATAAACTAAATTCGGGTTCTTCTATTTTTCAGGTTGATATACACTGTTTAGCGCGGAAGAAGCTACAACTTGAAAAGGCTGTTACAGATGGAATTAAGGGACAGCTGGACGGTATACTACTCTTATATATGACCATTTATCATGCACAATTCTTTGCATAATGGATGATTGGATAATTTCAGAAAACGATGAAGTGTCACGTGGGTCAGGAGATTCAAAAGAGGAAAAGCCAGATAGTGATACCCTGTGCCTTCTGCTCAATAGTGCCCTTAAAAGAAAATCTTCAGGCGATAACGTCTAATTTGCTGGGAAATGTTTTTTTTCTCTTCAAACATCTCTTCCTCAACATTAATCCTTTCGTATTTAATAGCCAGTAGACTTACCTACCATGATGTAAGTCTACTGCGGTTTCGGCAAACTAACGATCTCTCGCACGCTGTTCGCAATGCGCTTTTCACTTTAGGATATTCTTCATTGGCGTATGATGGTGTAAGAACATCTTTCATCATTCCGATTCATGTTTTACATCCCGCTGAGTTATCGTATTGATAAGCACAGGTTGTTCAAATAGGTTCAATCGGGTTACGCAGCCGACGGTGAAAACTGAAGGTTTACGTGAAGTGCTTTGGCGCTGTGTTATAATGATTATCTTAGTGCTGTGCTGTACTTGTTTCCAACAGAGCTGAGAAGTAATGTGAGATGAGGGGTTGGGGTTCTCGCCACCGTTCGGCTTGAAGGGCAGGGCACAGCATTCTATGGGGATTTTGGTCGAGCTTTTACGACCCCCCCCCTTTTCAGGGGCTGGTACGACCCCCCAAATACGCCCCCCCCCCCCTCCAAAACGTCCGCAAAGCGAGAAAAATCAACTATAAAAATAAATTTTTCCCAGCCCGAATACGACCCCCCCTTTTGGCGGCCAAATACGACCCCGCCCCTATAGGGAATCCCCATCGAACGCTGTGCCCTGTTGAAGGGGCCTTTTGCACTGTAGCTTGTTCCCCTTGCTAAAACATGTTAAATGACAGGTTAAGACCTGTAAACTCCAGGGAACTAATGAATGGATTCAAGTCAGGCACTTTTTTTTACAGGTACTTAATGGTCTTTACACGGAGGCTTGTACAATCTGCCAAGAACTACTTGGTGCCCCCCCCCCATCAAGCCAAGCTGTGCCGGGTCCTCATTAATTTAGTGCCCCTACCGTGTTTGTGAATAGTGAGGGTGGCGTTCCACCACTTTAGCGCGTACCTCACCATTCCGCATCACTGCAAAATGTTCTCAGACTCTGCTGGAAACGGCTGCACCCATTGTTGACGTTAATTTCTCACCTCACTGTTTTCGGTTGTTCTTGTAACTCATTACTGTTCGGTGAAATCTTTCTTGTACTATTTCCAGCGAGTCCATTTAATCCTTTAGGATCTGTTAATCATGATGAATATTTTGTTGTTGTAACAAACTTGCTTCATTTTTGCAAAATTAGTTTTCAAATAGTACCGTCGAGTTTGTCTTCGTGACTAGTATGTGATTTTTAGTGACGACTTTCAGTTCAGTTATAAATCTTAGCAACCTCTGTGGCTTGCTTCACCTCTGTGATGGTTTCTCACGTACAAAAGACTGCATTCACGCTCTGTGAACGAATATGTTGGCCGTTGGTGCAGTGGGAAAAGGCACCGCGGCACTGTCCGAGGGGTTGGCTCCCTGACAGCGCCAACTTAGCCTTCATCTCACACCCGGTAAGCCAGGCACGTCTGGGGGAGTATAGCACTGGTTTTTTTATCGACTAAACCACGCAAGAAATTGTATTTAAGCTGCATTCAAAATGCTACCAGGATTCCGAACAGTAGGAAGATGCATGGCTCATCTCAAAAGAACCGGTCGCCGAAAATTAGCCTCAAACATTCATGTTTACCCGAGTACGCGTGGATGTATTGGAATCCGAGGACCGTAATTTTCACCACATAGGCCTTTCAGGGCTGTTGGTGAGCCGCTGCTAGCGTATACGCTTCTAGTAGGCCTCCAGGCCGGAGACCTTTGCAGTTGTTTGGTTAAGATAGGACTCGTTTGGAAAAAAGACTTTGAGGTACGCATCAACCTGGTTTGATAGTCGTTGAATAGGTCTCATTCAAACGTCCGATTCTGAATGGAATCGAGTGCATGGCTCATCTCAAAAACGACTGGTCAGCGCCCGATTATTTCTTTTTACTCTTGATCGCCTTACCGGTTCTTTATAGCTTTTTTATGTCGCCGTAGAGCCCGAATGCAGTTGAAGTGCCCCGACGACCTTGAATGGAATGTGAATGCGCGGCGCGTCCAGAAGAAATCGATCGACGCCAAGCTGCTTAGCCTCTAGTGGCAGGTCGCAAGCGTAACACAGAACTCTGTATATATTGCATGCACTTGACATGCCTGCCGAAAACCCGCGCTTTTTTGAGGTGACACAGTGGAGCCCTTTCTAGTTTTCATGCTAATGAGCAACACTCACGCAGCTCAATTGGTTTTGGCAGGCTGCTTCGTAGAGAACGTCTGAATGTTGAGTCATCCAGAAATGGGTGAGCCAAAACTCTCTTGAACCAAAACCTTGATTGCAATCAGAGTTGTGACTCCTCACTTCTGAAACCTATGGAGGTTGTAGAGCCCAGTAACCAGAGGCACTACGAGAGCCATCTGGAAATCGGCTTCCCAACGCGCTGCCCATTGCAGCTGTGGCGCTATTGTCCGGATCGGGCCGTGCGCCCGTCACTCCCTTGCACCCGCCTCGCCCATTCGTTGCAGTCGATTGGTTCCGCATTCTCCTATGCATTGAAGAGATGCTTCAAATGCAGATCGATACTGGCTAATTTTGGGATATCTGGTCTTCCGTCTTATCCCCGAAATCATTCTCTCGGTCTCTTGCGCCTGTTTCTGCCAAGTTTCACAACTCTTCTCAGGAGATTCCATTCTTGAAGTTGAAGAATTGCACATGACTCAGCGAATGCAACCAAGGCAGGGCACATCGTACATCGGGGAATCCCCAGTGGGGGGGGGGTCGAATCTGGTCGCTGGAGGGAGGGGGATCGTGGTAGGTCCGAGTTTTTTGATAGTTGGTTTTTACTGTTTCACGGGCGCTATCCACATCGTTGGAGAATTTTAAGGGCAGGGTTCGTATTTGCTGCTGGTTACTCGTTGGTAGGAGGAAGGGGTGGGTCGTGTTTGCTTTTAAGAGAAGTTTGCCACGTCGCAAAAAATTCTTTCCGGTTGTTGACCATTCTCGGTTTTTTGCGTTTCAATCCCCCGCTTGACAGCAAAATGCTGGGAGAAAACTGTAATGTTCTTGGGAAATATCGAAAAATATCTAGGAAGGTGGGATAAGCTGGCAAGAGCAGGAATGGGAAAAGGGGTCGATGTTCCGGGGAAAATTTGGTTGAGAGCTGTGGATAAGTGCCCTGAGTCTGAAGTGGGGAGTGGGAGAGGGGGGACTGGGCCTTCTATAGGTCTTGTATGCCCGCTCTTGATAACCACTATCTAAGCCTTCGGAACAACCGTTCTTTGATCCCAGAGAATAAAAGATGGTGGCGTAAAACAGGAAACAAATGTGGCAGTAGGTAATGAGGGCCTTTTCTCTGGCCCCAGACCGTCCCTATTTTCTTTCGCGCAGTAAAGGGGCTTATGGGGCTGTACCTATGAGAGGATGGCTAACTCACCACCTTCTTAGAAGGGAGCTCAAATTGTCCGAGTTGTTGAACATCTTACCAAATTGTCTAGCTCCTACGTAGTTTATCCTCTGATTTCCAGTTTGTTCATAATATTAATAACATTTCAAATTTTGTAGACACAATCCTAAGTAAATGAACGTAAATAAATAAACACAGTAGTAGGAGTGATAGGTAATACACCTTGCCCAACATCCTTCCAAGTTAACCAGTTTTTCCAGGGGGCGAATAGAAACAAAATGTGGCTCTCATTTAAGTGTGAAGCGTAAAGGATAACGTGAAAATGATAAGTAATCTCAAGGGCTATAAAGTGTTTCCGTATCACCAGAGCAAACTGAACTAATTCGTTGGATCAAATTTCCTTCCTGCGAAATTATTTCGCTCCCTATCATTATCGCTTTAAAAAAGGGTATATAGGTCAGAGTTTCTTACTAAACATTTGCTGAAATCAGATTACTCCGAATTACTTTATGATCAATGAACAACTTCGAGATACTGTTCGTGTTTTTCTCTAAAGATGGACTTCTTCGCTCTCTTTTGAGCTAAATGGGTCATTTACATTGATTAGAGTATGATGTACTTTCGTAGGGGATTACTGGGAAGAGGTTTAAGACCAATTTTTTTTTCTGTGTATTCCCTGCAGCAAGCACGCCCCAATAGGAATCTGCGAAACTGCGAACTGTTTGCGCAGCGCGAGCCATTGAATTGCTTTGTGAGTTGTATGTTGTATTTTATACGCTTTGGAAATGAGTAACGTCTCGATTTTATTCATTTTATTTTACAGAATGGTGGAGGCTATTAGGGATCGAAGTTTTGATTGGCTTAGCAACGTTGCAAGCTCGTCAACGACACTTGAAAAAGTGCTCAACACAAATGGAAACTGCAATAATGTTTCTGGTTGGGATGAGTTGGTCGACTTATACGCTGCACGATTACAGACAGGCGACGTGAGTCTCGTAAAGGTTCAGAATTTTTCTCTCCTAAAATGGGGTGAAGAACCTTCGCCAGGCTCGTCTCCAAAGTTAAAATTCACCAAAGTGTCCATTTTCAAAGGGCTTTGGTTTGATTTGTTGGTAGTCAGAAGCCAGTTGTTTTTGTGAAGCTCGAACATTCGAGAAGTTCTTCTTTTTCCAGTAAGCTGTTTTCCACCCTCTATTCCTTTCTAGCCCTTTTAATTACATACTAACTTGGTTTGCTTGATGTGATGAGATACTGTACTTGAATGACATTGATTTAGGCTGCGCTCACACTTCGCGTCAGTGTATTGAGCAGCTGCGCGACAAAAGTTTAAAACTACCCGCGAAACGCTCAGGTCGCTGACGCAAAGTGTGGACGCAGCTGTTCTCCCAAAACTTAAATAAATCAAAATAAAGGTAGTTTTAAAGTCTACAGTCCGTGTACTGCAGCAGTTTTTAAGAATTCGAGTTGTCCAAGTTCTTCAAGAAAACGGCCGGGCAGCGAAAGTAATGGAGGAGCCGCTGAGAAAATCAGAATCATTGAGGTGAGGGAGAGCTTCAAGATAAGCACGTTTCGATGACTCGTAACTATCATTGAAAATATGACCCAACTAAAATTATGTTCCTCTCCTCCCCGTTTTGAACAATTACACAATTTCCAGCACTGCCTGTTGCACTATCTTTGTAACCAGTTACCGCTTGGGTGTTGCCGGTGGGAACATTCACAAATGCACTATTCCGCTCTGATTAGAATGCGCAGTATATCAATTTAAGGGAGGGGGGGGTTGATTTAGTGGCGCCCCACCAAACCCGCACTAAAACCACCACGTGCGCGGCACTGGGATCAGTTCCCTTCCGGCCAGCCGAACCTAATCCTTAGGTCGGTCAGTGGGTGAGAGAAGACAAAAGCTGAGATTTGAGTCCGGCTGGTCCTCGCAAGCTCCTCAAAAATCATGATCCCGAATCCAAGTATGCGGGCGCATCCCAGGATGGGCTTTATCAACGTCAAAAGTTTTATCCTCGATGTAGCTACCGCCCATATGAAGATGTTGAGTTCAAAAGCACAATATTACCTGCTCGGTGGATCCATTCCATAAGTGAGATGTCTGCAAATGGTCTGTACTCGGACATGTGAAATTGAAGCTGAAAGGTTCTGAAAGTTGAATAATTTCATCTGCTCCCAATATTCGGTACACGCTGAGCAAGGTACACCATGCGGGCATGTCGGCAACACATGGGTTACGGTCTGGACCGAGGTTCCGCAGCGAACGAATTGACGTGCTGCTGGAGTCCAGCCATAGAGAACTGTGGAACCCAACAAAACGTAGTGATGGGTTTTTACTTTGTCAGCGTTTTGAGCGTTTTCGCGGGTAACTTTGAATTTTCGCGGGCAGTCCCTAAAAACCTTGGGATACGATCAAAAGGCATAGATCGATATCTATGTGTTCCTAGTTGCTCAGAACGTTGTTGTACACTGGCGTACGTTTAAAGTGCTGCTGTACGCTGGCGTACGCTAGAATGTTCCCTACATTTTCCCAGTCGCTCAAAGTGCTCAAAACGCTGACGCAGTATATGAACGCAGGTAAGTTGCGCTTGCGACTTGCTTGTCTGCGCCCTCTTAGACTGCATGCAGACTTCGCGATCCAATAGTATGGATCGCGCGGTCGGATGGCCATCTAGGTCGCGCTATCACGATCATGGTTGCTCCTTAGCCCCGGTCTCGATTCGATCGCGTGATCCAATCGCTCGAGCGATTCGCGCCTGGGCACGCTCGAGCCATCCAATCGCGCGATCACTGGAACGATCCAATTGATCCAATGTGTTGGGCCGCGAATTTTGAATACGTTGACTGGGCTCTCCTGTTTGGTTAGGCGTATCATTGGTCGTGTGGCGTGTTGACGCAACACTTGTGTAACTGCTCAAGGAATTCGTACCTATTTAGTAGGCGAGAAAGAAGCTTGGTTGAGAGTTCACTGACTGTTTGACGCAAAAAGCATGGCACCCGATCGGTCGGTCTCCGCCGAGAAAAACACTCACACTTTATATGTGACTCACTCACGGAAAAGCACTATTATGACGAGCAAGTTCGCCTGTCCTCACAAGAATATAGGAAACAACATTAGTTAGACTTCCCAGCTTACCTTAGCTGTTATCATTGCTCACGTCAACTACTTAGCATAATTTTGACCTTTTACAAATGATGTTCTCGACCTACTTTCAGTTGCTTTCCTATTTTCAGAATAGAATCAAAACAGCGAAAACTAAAAATAATCAACTGACTTGTCCAATATGTGAGTATTCGATACCACCAAATATCTTCAAAGCAGATTTCGCAGTGAGGAAATTCGTGCGACATCTTCGTAAACATGAAGGAGAGGTATGAAATTTTCCTGCAAATCTTTGTTTTCTTTGCAGACTTCTGCATCTTTTCTAGCTTGACAATTCAACAAAAGCTCCCTGCACGTCATGCTTCAGTTTCCATAAAAAGTCTAAAATGGACGAACATTTTAAGCAAGAGCATAGTGGTGAGTGTGGTTTGACATTCAGTGATTTCTTTTTTCCGAAACCGTGCTGTATATCTCTCGATTTGTGGTTAAGAATTTGGCTTTTGCATGTATGGTCTTTATAAAATGTCGAGAACGTTCTGGCAAAAGCTCTCATACTCAACCAAAAATTCCAGTTAGAAAAAACGCCATTAGTGTCAGCAAGGCTGGTCAATGTGATTGAAAAAGTTCTCCCACTTTTGAAAAGTCCCCATTATTTCTGAGCACTGCGTCTGATAATTCAAAGGAGAACTGAGTCCTCGGATATCTGTTGTGTCTCTGGTGAACATTCAAACATTGTCTGTTGTGAATATGGAAATATTCAAGTTCTCCCCACATCCTTCCTTTTTTTCTCTTGTTGTAGTGCTTGGCACATAACTGTTAATGGTCCGTTCGATTCAGAGGCACTTTGACAAGGCTTAACTTACAGAAACTGAGAGGTTCGAAGTGCGTGAAGTCATCTGCTTTACCAACTCGACTCATAAATATCAAAAGTTGATTGACTCTCTAGCAGCGTACGTTTTCATGTGATTTCTTTCGATCTGCTACGCTTTGATTCCTGAGAAGTACCATTTTAAGGACATTGAAGAGTACTACCACTATAGAAGATAACTGCTCACGCATTCCTGAAAACTCTATTTTCACTGGTTCTACGAGGATGGGGCTAGGTAAGTACTAACGCAAACTCGAGAAAGTGACACACGAGTATCGGCAACAGCCATGCAGCATTACCGTCAGGGATTTCATGAAACGTACTTCCAGGGAAATATAGGGAAAATTGTCGTCAGAAGTTCCTCGCCATATCTGACCGAAGCGCACTGTTTCGTTACAAATATCGTCAAACGTCGAATTTACCTTTTGCATGGTGACCATCTAATTGCTGTTTTCTGGTGGATTCATTACTTGAATATTAATTGTTTCACAGGTTATGTCCACTATGTGACGAGTCCGCTGCAGTTGCACGGTGCTCATCTTTTCACAATGACATCTCGCTACGCCTTTTCGTGCTCAGGCATTTTGCAGTTGAACACCACAATCTTGAAGATATCGAAACAACCATACAACAAGAATGGTTAGTGTAGTCTCGCTATTTCGCTTCCTGGTCTTGGAGTTTCACCTCATACATGCAACTTCACACTTCATTAAACTCAATTTTACACGCATTCAATACAGAGATGACATCTCAAGAAGCATAGCGTAGGCCGATTTTGAATGGCGCCCACTTGTGTGTTCACAAGGTGGAGGTGTAAGATTGAAAGTTTTTGTGTTAAAGCTCACGATATTATTTGACCATCCAGTAACACTTTGTTTATTAACAAGTTTTGTTGTTGCAAAGATGTCGCTGTAAATATTGTGCAGGGCAATATTATCATACGAGATTGGATTCGATTTGGAGTATCATGTGATCGAAACAGCGAAGCTGCTCCGGCAAACGCAACGGTTGGTCGCACTACAGAGTTTCACATGTTTTATTCATCAATCAATCGATTTTGTAATGTGTCCGCAATTTACGGTAATAAGTCTTGTTCCTTGTAATTAATCACTTTTTGCTAAAACAGAACCTTCTTTGTAAAGTGTACCCTATCTAAGAACTAAGACACGAAGGCGCCGATATGCTTCTGACAGCGTTGGAAACGCTTTTAAAGAAAAGTTATTTCCGTCCTCTTATTAATTTCCAAGCACTCTTCGGTCAATATTACAAAAAAATTGGTTGCCCACATTTAACGAAGTATCGATCAAACCACTGATAATCTTAGGGCATAAAATTTACTTCTAGCAAAAACACTAAGTGTTTTAGTACGATATTTTAGGGTCTGACTTTGTAACTCGGCCTTCTTTTTAGAACTTTTTTACATTCCTGTGTCCAACATGCGCCGCTAAACAGCGGTTGGCACGCTAAAAATAACTTTGAAATATGTCAAGCCCTCAGCCTCGCTGTTCACTACCGGTATCGGCTAACCAGCTCATCACCTTGAATTTGGGTACTATAAGGCTATGGCACTAATGCCATTGAGCTGAGAGGGTAAGAGCGATGGCGCAATGGATAGCGCAACCGGACGGTAGGCGGGAGATGCGGGTTCGAGTCCCGTCTGAGTCTGACCTTATGCCTATAACTCAGCATTCCTGTGAAACTTGCGCCTTATACCCCAAAAATGGACAGTTCATGCATAGTTTCCGTGAATTCGTATCTTCTCCACAGCCATTCATGAAATATACTTTTTATCATTTCTCATATGAATTATTTTAGAAGCAATCTTTTCTACACCCTAAGAGGTATAAAAACTGTTCATCGCGATGCACTTGTTCATGAGATGTTCGGGCGAAGTACAAACAAGGTATGTTTCATTGTCACTTCATCTTCGTGTCCATTCTTATTGCGCTCCTTTTTTTGTCGTTCTGTACCAGTTATATGAAGGGAAGAAATTTGTGTAACATTTCAGGAAGAAATATGTGCTTCCGATCACTGTATATGCATCGTCTGCTTCAAACCTGTTCTGAAAAAGTCGTTGGGCAGACATCTGTCGACTGCTGGACATGAATGGCTCAGTCCGTACGTATTGTTGTTCATTATTGTTTCTTAAGCGAATAAGCAGTTATATTAGGAACATTTTGAATACTTTAGTCACGCGGAACACGGTGAATTTCGTGAAGTTGCGGAGATTTCTGAAGTAGGAACGATGAATTTGCACAATTTTCCATATATTGCTCTTTTTTACTCGAAAGTCTTCCGTATTCGGGTTAGTTTTTTTTGACAAAGTTGTATCGGTCGAATCATGTGCCTGTTTGATAGAAACTAGTAACATTTATCCTTCTTTCTGAGGTATAAAACGCTCATCTAGAAGAAAAAATTCCTCAGTATTCGGTGCGAAAATTTCGAGCGGTGAAAGCGCGATTCTCTTTCCCTTTCTGTGTTTTTTGTTTGTTTTAATTTTCATCATGTGAACGAATTGACCAAGAAGATTAGAAACCCAAGGACAAATATAGATAGAAAACAAGAACAGTTGCTGCTCTGGCTCTGTAGACTTTTCGTGCGCGTGGTAGCGTTCTCGTCTGCAACCTTGCATATGAATGCGTTTTATACTCCAGCAACTAGGGATTTTGCAAATGAGCATGTTATCGCCGAACTCATACTCTTTCCTAGGTTTTCAGGAAGAAGACGATTGTGAATCCATCACGTTTTTGAAATGGCGATGTGTGCTTGAGAGTTCAGTCGCCGGCCACGTTGACGACGTCCTCGAATTTCCAACTAAAGAGCTATTGAAAATCCACGCTCTCAAGCACTTTGAAACGTACCACCAAGATTTCTTTTCTCCCGAGTACTACCAGTATGAAAGGTATCTTGTACAGTGCGAGGACCATTGTTCTCCATACTATGATGTGTCGATTGCAGAGCTCTTCTACAACAAGAGCTACCGACTGCCACAGATGTATACTCTTATTCTCCCCTATCCTGGAGCTTTGACAATGAGCCGTTTGATACCACGTAATTTTTTTTCCTTTATGACTTTTCTCTATGTGGAGTGTCTTGAAACATTGTTTTTCAGCAATCCAAACCATTTCAACGTCCCATTTAGGACGAAGCTTTTGCCGAGGAGTTGTAACGATATCCAGGTGACTTCTTCTTGCTTAGTTTTCTCGAGTTTCTATAACAGTAAAGCCCATATTTGTAGATATGTGGCTTTTATTTCTGGGGTGGATTTCCTTCTCAATTCGTTACTCATATTGCTAGTCACGGATACATTGACATCGGGTAAGTTTCTACTTTGCACTTTGCATAGCTGGACTCCTCTCAGTACTCATTATTTTTGAAGCTTGCATTCCGGGAAATTTTTATACATTTCTCTGAGCTAGGCGTTTGTAGAGTAATAAAAACGGCTTGGAACTTATCAGTATGTTCATGTGCGCTCATTTCCACAAGTCAACCATCCTCCATAGCAATCACGTTTTCTAAAAGTTGCGATTGCTTGCTTGTGCCCGGGCAGATAGCGTTATCGTCATTGTAACGTTAGCTAATGTCATCCGTTTGATTACCACTTCATTATCAAGTCCTGTTCCGCTTCTTAGTGGTCCTTGGACTTGTTGAACTTGTTCTGATCTGTGTTTGACGGCCGAAGTGCAGGATAATCCGAAGCTTTTGTTGAAGTGGCGCCAGTACATCTCGTAACCGCCATTCAATTCGCGCTCATCTTATCTCTCATTTTTTTCTACCAGTTTTGTCTAATATTT